AAGAAAGAAAGAAAGAAAGAAAGAAAGAAAGAAAGAAAGAAAGAAAGAAAGAAAGAGGCTTCCAATCTTCTTTGCAGCAGTTGTAAATGCATTTATATCTTATCCTCTCTAAGTTTACATCATGGCTCCCTTCTTTCCATATTCTATCTTTTCTAATCAGCAAACCCATAAATCACAAGTTCATTTTTTCCCCGTTTTCAGTAAAAAGTCCATAAAGGATTTTCAGTCATTGACAAATGTAGTTATTGTCTTTTCTCTAATCTAACAAGTCAATTCTGCCATGTCCGCAAATTCTGTCATCCTCACCCACCATTCCTCCACTGTGGGTATTTCAGACTCTTTCCATCTTTTTGCATGTAATAATCTCGTTGCAGTTACCATGTAGCTGTTGTTATTTGTTATTAGTTCTTTATGGTGAGGAGTACCACTGTGCTATGTTGCATGATGCTGTTGGCACCCCAGGTATATTTTATATTTATCTTTCAGTAAAATATTAAAATGGCCCAAAATAGGACCAGATCTTGTTTATTCTTGCTTGTGCTCTCTCACAGTTCTATGCAAGAGCAGAGAATCTTGCAAGATTTTAGTGAACTCACAAGATCACGTTTGATACTTTAAAATTTTTAAATTTCATTTGATTTCATTTTTTTTTAATTTAAGCATGATGAGTTTCACCTGTAGTGGTGCTGGTGTTACAATGTCTGCAAGATCTATGTTGCAATCATCATTTCATGGAATATACAGGCGTGGCATTGCGAGAATATTAAAAAAGGCTGTGGATGTAGATAGTGTAACTGGAGAAATGTTAAAATATGGATGTAACTTTCTTATGGAGTAGCTCTGCAACTTGTTTAATGTGGCTGTGTGAAGGCTGCATCTGTTCCTCATAACTGGAAGAAGGTCACTGTTGTTCTCCTATACAAATGAAAATAATAATATACAATAGTGTAATAATACAGGTGGCGGAGTGGGGGCTTGTTTATTATGCTGGGGAAGATATTTGGCTGAATTCTGATTGAAAGGGAAGGAGAGGTAACAATAAGTAAAACTTGGAAAGTGCAGTGCAACTTTAAGCCAAGAAGAGGGATGTGGGCATACTCCGGGTCCCATCAGTCACCTGGTAGGGCCCAAGAAGCATGCTTTCTCTGTCACGGCATCTCTTTTGCAGAACAGCTTCCCCCATAGAAATGGAAAGATGCAACCCTGTAGGCCTTTTAGAAGGCTGTGAAGACCTGGCTCTTCCCCCAAGCACTGTTGATGAGGATGGAGCTCTGGAGAGGTTTGTTTAATGAGGTGATAAATGAGATATTTAGGGTCCTCACCCCAGTTTCTTTTGAACCGAACTTGTATAGCTATATTTCATTTCTGTTTGCCATGCAGAGTTACTTGGGTAGAAGGGCGGCTAATCAAACAAACAAATAAAATTTGCTCTTTATCAGGTCACTGAGAAATATTTGTACATTTGTTGATTTAAAGAAAGTGTATCATAAAGTGAGTAGGCATGAATTATGGAATGTTTCCAGTGAGGTTAGTTGCTAAATGAGATAGGAGCAGCATATAATGGAAGTAAAGTATTCCTAAGAATAAATACAATCAGTTCTTCTACAGTTCTTCTACAGCATGTGCCTATACAACAAAAATTTGCTCGTGTATGATTGATATATAGGGGAATGACACCACTATAGCACAAAGTATGTTCCTTTATGCATAACTTTTCTGGGTTTCAATTTTGGGCTAACAAGAAATGGCAGATGAATGTGGGGAGCACTGCCCAGTTGAATGCAATGCTTTGTTGCTTTATTTATTGCCCACTCAAATCAGTTGTTACCTGTATGCTACTTTGTTAATGTCTATTGTGCTTCTCTCCTTGTTTTGGGGTGTTATTGCTGCATAAGTGTGCTCTTCCCTGTCCCCCAAATCAGTAACCTAAGTGAAAAAATGTGCCAAACCTATTTTTTCTAGCAGCCCTGTTACTCATATTGCAGGATTTTGCATAATACTAGGGTTTCTAGGACCACAACTATCATGACAAGGCTTTTACAATGCTTAGTGAATAGTTCATCACTGAGCAAGGAGTAAGCAAGGATGTGTAATGGTTGTTTAATGTATCTATGGATAAGGAGTGCTTATGATAGAGTTAGGGGTAGGTTAATCAGGGACAGGAACATGTTATTGGCTGAGACCTTGTTGGTTGGTTGGTTTTTGAGCCTTGGAGCCAGTGTTGACTTCTGGTGACTACCTGGACAAGTCCCTGCAGTTTTCTTGGCT